TTTTTGTTGGGAAATATTTATAACAAAAATGTACTATATTAACCCTTTTAAATGTGCAAATACATGCCACAATTCCATTCAAATATATAACAACTACTACTATTTCCAGGATTTTTTCATTACCTGCACTAAAACTCTAACCAATAAGCAATCAATTCTCAGGAACCCCTAGCCTCAGGTAACCCTGAATCTATTTCCTGTCTCTATGAATTTGCCTATTCCAGATATTTCATATAAATGAAATTATACAACCACATACCATTTTGCTTCTTGTTTAGTCATGTTTTCAGGTTTACCTAGATTGTAAAGTGCATCAGAACTTTATTTTTCATGGATAATTAATAATCCAACATATTTGTGAGCCATGTTTATTTATGAATTCCTCTGTTGATGGACACGGGGTTGTTTCCACACCTGCCTGTTGTGAAGAATGGTGTGGCGAGCCTTAGCCTGGGGGAGCTATTGGAGTCCCTGTTTCCCATCCTGTGGGCACGTGCCCAGCCGTGGGAGTGCTGGGAAGATGTGCTTCTGCCTGGCTCTGGCAGGAAGTGCCCAAGGGTTCTCCACAGCGCTTCAGAGTCCCTGGGCTAATGTAGGAAGGTGTGGAGTCATTGTGATTTTGTCAGATGTCATTGTTATTTTGATTTGTTTCTATAGTGACTAAAGACACTGAGCATCTTTCCCCTAGTGCCCCACACATGTGCTTATTGGCCACTGGAACATCTATCCAAGCCCTTTGCTGTCCCCCTTCTTTTTTACTACCGGGGATTGTTTTGAGGGGCACTGTACCTCTGAGCTACACCCCCAACCCTTTACATGTATTTATTTATTTTTCTTTTGAGACAATTGCCCAGGCTGGCTTCAAACTTGTGAATCTTGTGTCTGACTCCTGAGATTACGGATGCCCAATACGTGGCTCCTTGGCCTCTTTTAAACTTAGGCTATGCTTTGGTTACAGATTTGTATTTGTTCTTTATATATTCTAGCATGAAACCCATATCACATATATGATTTGTAAATAATTTCTTCCATTCTGTCATTTCACATTTTTAACTTATTCCCTTGTTATTTTATTAGTAATTTTGTTTCAAGCCTATGGGTCAATACTTATTTACAAAAACAAGTTCAGTCTTTTATGGTGAATACTTTTAGACTTTTATTTTATTTATTTTTTAATTGTTTGTGGTGCTGGGGATGGATCCTAGCGTCTTGTGCATGTGAGGTAAGCACTCTGCCAACTGAGCTATATCCCCAGCCCACTTTTAGGGTTTTAAAGAATAAATTCATTGTCACATCTGAA